CACCCCCCAGTTTTAGCTAATTCTGTTCAAGTTCTCCCTGTCCCTTATGAACAGGAGCATTTCTGGAGCATCTCCACCAAACCAAATACAACAGAAAGATCAATTCTAAGTGATAAAATTCACACCGTGTTAGTGAGGCTGCGGCTAGTAACTAATGAGGAAGGCCCACAGCACCACCACAGCAGTGCCTTCCGTAAGAGAAACAAGTCATTTCATTTCCTGAACGGTCAAATGGGAAACCATTAGAATTTAGACAAAGCTGCTCGAAAGCAGTAAGAAAATCCAAGTGGACTATAAGGCAGCAAAGGTCCAAAGAAGCTCCATCAAAACACAACCTACTCCTTTCTAAAATAAATTAAGTTCTGCAAGGAAAAAATATAAGCCGATTCAAATATTAATAACAAAACGACGCAATAGGTCTGCAACACACACCACAGCCAAGAGGCTGACCTGAGATACAACTGTAAAGAGCTCCTAGAAATCACTAAGGAAAGGCCCTAAGATTTGACCAGCGCATGTAAGGACATGCTGAAGCTTACTCACGAGAGGATATGAATCCACATACACCAAGACACTCTCCCGCCACCCATTCCGCTTCTACTAACCCCAAACACCATGACGACGTGCCCCTGAGCACCAACAACGGGAACGTGGATCAGTGCACCCCCGCGGAAGGCCGTCAGCAGTCCAAAGAAAGGCTGTGCCTCTTCATCTGGTGACAGCGCTTCCTGGCAACGCTCCTGCACACGCCCAAAACAGGGTGCATCGGACAGCGCTCTCTGCTCCCCCATCTCCACCACAAGACACTAGCAAGGACCACAGTGACAGCCACCAGAGGCTGCGTCAGTAACCACCCACCGCCTGGAGGGGCCCCGGGTGCCCACGCCTCTGCAGTCCTAATGCACCGAGGACGTGGCAGTGCACACTCACACGCTGACCCACAAGCTCAGGACATGGTGACCGAGGCCAGGGCGGGGGCTGGTGGAGGACAGTGGGACAGGGGCAGCCTGTGAAGAGATCATGTTGCGCACCCAAACCCGCACAAAGTGGAACACAGCTCCGCCCCCCAAGAGAAGGGACTCCACGGCTCGGAGCTTGCAGGACGAATTCCATTGGTGGCACCGAGCTCAGGGGCAAAGCGCCATGGCAGCAGATGTGCTCAGAGCCTCGGTGCCGCTCTGGAAGATTCCTGAGGTGAAGACGCAGGACTCCTCAGTCAGCAAAGACTGTGCACGGTCCCCAAGCAGAGGGGATGTCATACCAGGGAGGAGGGAAATTGTGCAATCCAGCCAGGACTCTGTCTACGACAGTGTCGCCACGCTTTTCACTCAATAGCGACTGCCTAATAGGGCAGGAGAGGGGCCCTGCAGCCCTCGGTTCCACCGCTACATAGTCAGATGGCCTGGGACCTCAGTGGCTCGCACCTCCAGTTCTCTCAATGGCACGGGGGTCGGCCTCAAAACCACAAAGTTCAATTTTCCGGCAGCCAAGTCCTGGGCATTCAGTGAAATGCCAGATGTGGGACACCGGCAGGGCACCAGCACCCACCCTGGCGCGGACATCCCCCTGCTCCTCAGCATGGCAGGCGAAGCGAAGAGCTGAGTGCACTTCACTCCTACTTGACGCCAAGGCCTCAGCCGAATTTTGCTTCAGATCCACCAGCAAAATGGCTGTGTGAAAACAGCAGGACCCTAGCCGTGACGTGCTTCACACGCTCTTCCATCCACCATGCCAGAGGACCACAAGCCCCAGCACGGAGGAAGGAGACAGGGGCTGCTCTGCTGCTGCTGGCACCGGTCACCGCCAGAGGAGGGGCCGGGGGTCCCCGCCAGCCTGTCGCGCACTCGCAGGGCTGCCCGCACAACAACCGTGACTTCACCACCGGGCCGTTGCGACCATAGCCACCACCAGACATCGGTCTGACAAGTGCCACAGACAAAACCCCAAAATAAACACTGCCACCAGGTAGCTGTGACAGGCACCTCAGAGAAGGGCTTGGAAAGCAGCCAGTCCAGAAAAAAACTAACGATTCCAAAGAAAAAACCCTGAGATCAGCAAAATAAACGTACTGCTAAGTTTTAAGTGAACTGTGGTTAAAACTCTTAAATCACTAAAAAATGTGAGAGACCACAGAGGTTTACAAGGTCCCAGGGGCGCCCGGGTGGCTCAGTCAGTTAAGTGTCCGACTCCTGATCTCAGCTCAGGTCATGATCTCTTGATTTGTGAGTTCAAGCCCCATGTCAGGCTCTCCAGAGCTGCTTGGGGTTCTCTCTCCCTCCCTCTCTCCTTCTCCTCTGCGTTGGTATAGGACTAGCAGGGAATCTGACGATTGCTAACAGATTAAATCTTAAAAGTTCTCCTCACGAGAAAACATTCTGTTACTATGTGAGAGGACAGGTGTTCACCAGACTTGCCGCGCTGACCCTCGCACGGAACAGACAAACGCCAACGCACCATGCTGTACGCCTGAAGTTAGTACTGCAAATTTCACCTCAATGCTTTAAAAAAAGAGCAGTGGGGCGCCTGGGTGGCTTAGTCGGTTAAGCGTCCGACTTTCGCTTAGGTCATGATCTCGCGGTTCGTGGGTTCGAGCCCCGCGTCGGGCTCTGTGCTGACTGCCAGCTCAGAGCCTGGAGCCTGTTTCAGTCTGTGACTCCCTCTCTCTCTGACCCTCCCCTGCTCACGCTGTCTCTCTCTCTCTCCTAGAAATAAATAAAAAACATTTAAAAAAAATAAAAAATAAAAAATAAAAAAAATAAAAATAAAAAAAGAGCAGTAACGTGGACAAAAAATACCCCTGAAGAAGATAACGGAAACTTGAGTCATGTCAGGGATGAAGCCAGGCCGGCAGAGACGCAGTCAGCAGGTGTCACAAAACACCAACGCGAGAAATCGCCTTCTTCCAACTTGGCCTTGGCCTTGGCCTTGGCCTTGCCGATGCACCACACGGCAGCCACCACTCCCCGAAGTTGCCACACTGGTGCCCACTGTCACTGTCTGTGCCCCACGGAGGTCAGTCCCAGAACAGCAATCTCATCCAAGCCTTGGGAACCACCTCAGTCAAGGTCTCAGGCGGGAACAAGCACACGGCCACCCTTGGTGAAAGTGAGGACATATCGAGGTCACAACACATGTATCTGAGAGAGGGCGTGGATCTGACCCCCAGGTGTGACAGCCTGTCCCCCAGCGGGACATGATCAAGTGCACAGGACCCTCGAGACACAGTGCTGGTGGCAGAGTCAGGAGACTTGACACCGCCATCACCAGCATGAATGTTTCCCAGGGTGGAAAGCCAGAGGCCAGGTGACCTGGGTCTCCAGAGTCAAAGAGAAAATAACTGGTTTTAGGTTAGGCCTGATACAAACTCTTTTGAAGAAAGTCCCAGAAGTTCGTGGAGAAGTCAGAAGACAGGAAGTACAGCAGCAAGCCGTAGCTATCTTTAGCAAAGTTTGTAGCCAGCACTTTTCTTAACTGATTCACCTGCATACACAGCAACCCCAACAAAAGGTGACACCTACACCAGCGTCTGCCCCACTAGAACCGAGAAGATGCTGGGCAAATCCCCCCCCCACTCGAGCCCCAGAAGATGCTGGGCAAATTTCTCCCCACTCCGGAGCCCCAGAAGATGCTGGGCAAAGTCCTCCCCCACTGGAGCCCCAGAAGATGCTGGGCAAAGTCCTCCCCCACTGGAGCCCCAGAAGATGCTGGGCAAAGTTGCCCCCCAGGAAGGCCAGTCTGCACCTACCAGAAATGGAGGAGATACAGTCACCAGAACGAGATGCTATATGGATGACCCCTAGTCATCAGGTCTGACTTGGACCCTGAAGTTCACCTGACCAGGGGTCAGCGAGCCCTTGTGACATCTCCACACACGGGGTGGGAGGAGGGCAGAGGGAGAAAGAAGCAGACAGGATGCCCCAACCAGCATGGCTCAAGATCCCTGACCCACAACCACATGGAGCCGAGAGGCCTCAGGGCTCCTGCCTTCCCTCCCTCTGATGCTGTTGGGTGTGCGTCTTCCAGAGGCTGCCCAGCCCCTGCCTGGTCCTGCGCATGGCTGGGCCCGTTTCAGGTGCAGCCTGGGCGGTATGGGGTCAGTGTCTCAGAACGGGGACCCTGGAGGGGCTCGCTCACCGCCCAGCCTGGCTTTCTCCACACACAGCCAGACTAGCCAGGGCCAGGGCCACTTCAAATGACAGTTGAATCCAGAAAAAGTAGGAGCAAGTCATGTACAAGCTCTACTTTGCGCATTCCAGAACCTTCTCTTTGGAAGAAGCCGGCAGCACTGCTCTTTGAAAAGCGAGAAAGCAGCAGGAGCTTCAGAGGCAGCGCACCCCAGGCTCGGGGTAGGGGCACCTGTGTCGCTCGGGGGTCCAAGGGACCACTCGGCCCCTCTGTCTCTTCTACAAAACACGGAAGGCACTGCCTCCCTCCCAAAGACCGAAGCAAGGATACGGTGTGTCCGGCACACAGCCCGAGCTTCCGCACTGAGGGGATCACGATGATGTCACATCCCACCTCCCAAATCATACAGGGCTTTTCCTTTCAAGGGAGGCCTCCCTGCTCGCATGACTCCCAAGTAAAAACCCCTCTCTCCCCCCATCAGAGGTTCCGTTTCTGCTCCTGTTCAACAGTGAAGACACCAGCTCAGGCTTCAAGCACCCCTGCTCGGGCAAGCACAGAACCGGGAGCCACGGCCACTGCACAACCTGGGGGGTCTCCGCCCTGCCTCTCCAGGCGCTGCCTTCTCCATCCGTGAAACGGGTGTGACAAGCATCACCCTGCCTACCTTGTCAGGCTTTCTGAGGGGACACCACACAATAAACCACAGGATGACACTGGAGCTCAACACCCAGCAGCAGGTGTACCCAAGCAGCACAGCAGGGCTGAAGGACAGCGGAGACCGCAGGCCAGGCCAGCGGGCTCCGGCACAGCCCACACCGGACATCCGCTGCCACAAAGAAAAGCTGGGTGAGGAGCTGGAGGGGCCCCGCCGTTACCTGCCTCCCCTTCACCACGTGCTTGGGCACCGGCACTTTGAGCTCCAGGTCGGTGTAGTCCTGTGACCAGGTGTAGTTCTCACGCACGGCACCGTTGTAGCTGTCGGGGTTTCTCTGGAACTGCTCCTGCCTCCTGGGGAAAGACGACAGGTGAGATGGCACCGACCACCACGCCCCGGCCTCACCCCACTCACATCCTGCCTATGCACTGGCCCTACCCCCCACCTCCAGCTCCCAAGAAGCTCTTCCTGGCCCTCCTCCTGAGGCCTCCTGGGAAACCCAGGGATAAAGGGACATGCTGCAGAGAAGTCCTTGAGTGCGGTACCCAGGTCTGGGGACAGGTGTCCACAGCCAGGGTCCATGGCACAGCCTGGCCTGCCGACCTTTGCAGACTCCACAACCCAGCTCAGTCCCTCAACTGAAGGGCCTCAGTAACAGAGCCCCGGGGGCTGATCTTTACCAAACAGCCCAACTTGCGCCCACAGCTTCCACAGGAACCCAACGGCAGCCCTGGCCCCACTTTAGAGCCGCCTTAAAAACCCATCGGCCATACCCCATTGTCCCTGTTGGGCCAACCCGGTACAGGTGCACACGGATCTGGCAGAGTGGCAAGGCTGATGTTACAAATAAAACACAATAAGATATTTGCTGTTAACCTTAACAGTGCTAAGAAAGCATAAATATCACATAGAAATGTTTGGACTCACAAGCCCACTACTGGGAGTTTCAGACCTAAATTCAGGACAGAAGCCTAATCGTGGAGAAGGTGATACCTTTGAGTGAGGACGTCCCCCAGCAACAGGTGCAGTTCAGCCACCTTCTCCAGCTCTCAGGGAGCCTGGCACACACACGTGGAGAAAGGCCCAGAGACTGCACTCGTGGGGAGACATAGAATCAGGCACGTGTCCATCTGTGCAGATGAAGACACGCAGAAAAGGGTTGGAGCAGAGGCACCCCACCAGCCCCCCATCTCTGTCAGGTGGTGGCTCTTGGGGAACATGTCTACTTGTACACCTTACATGTGAGGCTGGCGTCCATCACTGCCCAGCTCTAGCAGCTGATAACTGGCTGCTACCAGGGACTGAAGTGTGACCAAAAACTGTTATAGTGTCCTAACCTCTAGCACCTCAGAATGTGCCTTATTTAAAAGTTTAAATGAGGGGCACCTGGGGGGGTCTGACTAGGTCATGATCTCACAGTTAGTTCATGGGTTCAAGCCCTGTGTCAGGCTCTGTGCTGACAGCTCAGAGCCTGGAGCCTGCTTCGGATTCTGTGTTTCCCTCTCTCTCTGCTTCTCCCCTGCTCACACTCTGTCTCTCTGTCTCAAAAATAACTGCTCATGCAGTCTCTCTCTCTCTCTCAAAAATAAATAAAACATTTTTTAAAAATAATTACAAAAAATTAAAAATGAAAGTTAAATGAGGTCACGGGGGGGGGGGGGGGCACCTGATCCCCTGTGTCCTTCGCCAAGAGGAGACCAGGAAAGGAAGATGCCTGCAGAGGGGCGGTGGTGTGAAGATGGCCAGACAGCTGCAGGCCTGGGGGCTAGGGGCTGTCCACGTGCCCAGAAGCTGACAGAGGCACAGAGGGCCCCACCCAGAGTCTGGAAGGAAGCTCGGGAGAGAGCCCCAGGGAGCAGGGTGGGAGGAAAGTGTGCAACTCAGATGAGACGTGGGTCCACTTCCTAAGAAATACACATGGGTGTGTGGACAAAGCGTGTTCCGTCTGTGTGAGGTCTCGGAGGGCAGAATAACAGGAAGTCTGACTTTCTTCTCTGTTTCTTTAGGCATTAAGTTCCTTGCAACAGACATTGTACCCAGAGAAAACGGCTCTTCTTCAGGAATCCTGGACAGGAGGCGGCGATCCACCCCAAGGCTCTAGGACCGGGCAGCTGTCGGCCTGCGTCCCGACGCTAGGACGGCTTCAGGGCTGCGGCGTGGTGGTCATGCTGGAGTGTGCAGGGAGCACCCCCAAGAGCCAGGACGGGGTGGGGGTTGGGGGGCTGGAGCAGAGATGTCATCCTCCCTGCACAGCCTGCCGCACGGCCTTCGGAGTGTGCGCGTTAGCTATTAGAAACCTCCAAGTTATGGAAACACAGAAATAAAATAGACACAAAACAGGCCGATACGGCCTCACACTTGGCAGAAATCCAGAGACAAATCTCAGGACCCTCACAGAGGAGGGGCAGCCATGTCCCAGAACACAGAGCTGAGCCCTCCTCGGCAGAGCCGGGTCCTGCTGGGGGGCATCCCGCACCCTTGGAGCCGTGTGCTCATAGAGGGGCCCTGCTCACCCAGTATCGCCCCACGGGCAACTATGCCCTGCAGCCCCATGGAGCCCGGCAACCTGCTGGGTGCATTTTTTAACGCTTGAAGTCCATGTTCTCTTTAAATAAAGTGGATTATTTCCAGCTAACAGTGTGTAAAAATAAGCCTCCTGTCATGTGCAGGTGCTCTGGGCCCCCTCACTCCATCATCCCCATCATCCTCGACTGGCTGGAGCCACACCCCTGCAGCTGCAGATGTAGCTATGCAGGGGAGGGGAGGGAAGGAGCATGAGTCAGCACACAGGCCTCCCTGCAGCACAGGGGTCCCAGGAGCCCATGGTCGGCCACGTCAGAGGAGACACCAGGCCAGGCTCCTGTGCCACAGCCAATACCCCCTCCAGGGGTGGGAGCTCAGGCCCCTCCCTCCTCCATGCCCCTGTGTGGGGCAGGAACCAGAGCCTTTCCAGTGGTGGCCGTGTGACAGTGATGGGGAAGGAGTCGCAGCCCCTACAGTTGCCTGTGCAGGATTTACTGCATGTGGGACATGCGTGGTGCCCTCAGGACCCTCCCAGGCTCCAGGAGTGGGAATGGCTCCCACAAGCGTACCCATGGGAAGGACCAGGGCCTTCGCATGTGCGGCACGAGCATTGAGTGTGTGCATGTCTAAGGCGGTTTACCCTCTCCCCTTGTGGGATACCTCGGTCCCTCCCCCTCCTCACTGACCCCACTGCCTACGTCCCTCCCACTGACCCCCCTCCCTCACCGATCCCACTGATCCCCCCGCCTCCTTCCTCCCACTGACCCCCTCCCTCACTGATCCCACCGCCTTTGTCCCTCCCACTGACCCCCTCCCCCCTCACTGATCCCACTGCCTCTGGGACCTGGGCAAGAACCACAGCAGGTGTGGGCTCCTGCACTTCCCCAGCTGGGTGAGGCAAGCCCACCCTTGGAGGTCAATGCTCTGCATCGAGAGCCTCGTGCCAACCGTGCCCTCCTGCAAGCAGGTCCGTGGGCCTCGTCTCAGTGTCCAGACATGACAGCCACATTCACTGTACCACTTGGACAGGAAGGGTTGGACGGCACAGTCGGTGCAGGTGACCCACCCAAAGGGCACCAGGCAGGCCCTCTTCCCGGCTCCTCCAGCAGCAGAAGCCCACGGCCTGGGGTCCCACGCTCCAAGTCCATGTGGTCATTGTCCTGCCCGGGGCCACTGTGCCCCTCACACTTGGTCGCCACCCTCTTCAACACACTCCCGCCTGGAAAGAAGTTTGGCTCAGGACACTAGGTTTGTTATCACCCTGCTCCAACTCAGGGCCTAAAATCCATCCCATCCTGCCAGCATGCAGCAAGCAAAGGAACAGAGAACGTGCTCGTGAGAACCAAGTCCAGAACGTGGGAAACTACAACAGGCAAAGTTCCACATTTCTTTACAACTCAACAGCAACAGGTTGAAAGAGAAAAGCAGAAGAATTCTAAATCAGAAGGCTCAGAAGACCCAGCAAATGCCACGTCTGGACCGGCCAGAGCTCCAGTCTGGAAAAATCAGCAGCAAGAAGACAGAGATACTCAGGAAAATGTGAACACAGACTGGGCGTGAAGCGATTACAGGACATTCACAACGATCACGTTAAGCTTAAGTCTTTTTTTCTACTGACTTACGTATGGGTAAGTTTACTGATTTCTGGGTCTGTCCTAACACATCTGGGGGCAGGGAGAGAGAGACAGGAATGGAGAATGCTAAGTGAGGAAACAGGGAAGCTTCGTGGGTGCTGACAGTGCCACCGTGTCCTTTCGTGGAATCTTTAAACCCTGAGGGTCAGTCTGTGCACCTAGAGGGGGACCTGCTGGCCCAGGACCGTCCCATGTCACGGCACCTGCAGCGTGCTGGGGCAGAGGTCCAGCCCCCCGAATACACAAAGAATCTCGTGGCTTCCCTGTGTGCTTATGCTTACTGGCCATGCGAGCTCCTTCTAAGCCACTGGAGCCACGGCCTCTGTTGGTGCTCCCTGGCTGCAGAAGTGCTCTGCACATGCTGGAAAGACCAAAGGTTTCGCAGCTCCCACATGCTGCCTCTTACTTTCCTCATGGTGTCTGACTAACCCAAGGCCCGTTGCAGGAATCAAACTCGCCACACCCCATCCAGCTTCAATCCCTAGGCCCTGCGGTCATCAGCCCCGCGTCCCACCTCGCTCCCCTGCGTTCTTGCTTCTGCTCCTGACCGGTCATAAAAGAAGCCCACGTGACAACCCAGTATGCAGCCGTGGGGACACCCAGGGCGCCGATGCCCCTGGCCTGCAGCTCCCACTCACCCCGCCTGCCAGGAGTCTCTCCACCACCGCCATCAGCGTCTGATGCAAAATTTTTGTCACAGAGTATATTTTGATAATCTGCCTTTAACATTTTAATTTTGTAGCACAATTAAAAATACCAATGATTTTTTATTTACCTAAAATAATTGAAGCCCCTCATAACACACCCATGAATAACTTGATAGATCAAAGTGCTCGGAGGGCCAGCCCGCAGAAGCAGCATTGATATTTACTATACGCTGTTCTGATGAACTGAAGCACACGTTTGTTACAGCGACACTTCTTCTTAAATCACGTTGTTTAAAAAAATTTTTTTTAATGTTTATATTTTGATAGACAGCGTGTGATCGGGGAGGTGCAGAGAGAGAGGAAGACACAGAATCTGAAGCAGGCTCCAGGCTCTGAGCTATCAGCACAGAGCCTGACTCGGGGCTCGAACCCATGAACTGTGAGATCATGACCAGAACTGAAGTTGGACACTTAACCGACTGAGCCACCCAGGAACCACCCCCTCCATACTAATTATTTTAACAAGGGAAAAAAGATTCCAAATATTTT